ATAAAAAATAAAAACTCTTGGTGTTTTCGATTTTATATATAATAAAATATTAATTAGTTAGTTGACTAATTTCAATAATATTTAATTTGTGTTGGGTTACTAAAAATTTCACACACTTTTTCCTGAAAAAAAAGTATTACCTGGAGCAGAGATTTCACTATTGCAGTGAAACTTATCTCTGTTACAGTTAAAGCTTTCTTTTCGTATACAATAAATTACAAAACTGCCAGTACTCGACCTGTACTGAACCAGCAGTGGTTACCAGTACTGGTGCCAACTCTGGCAGCCAATACTGGTAAAATGTTATCATCCCAAAGTTACGCCAACTCTGGCGCCAATACTGGGTGCCAGTACTGCGCCAACACTTGTCAGTACTGCGCCAGTACTGCGCCATTAGTAAATTTTTGATTGGGTAATAATGATGAACCACAGTGGTGTTTAAAAAAATATATTAAAATTCTATTGAGTGTACTTTTAACGATTTTTCCAAGAGGGCATTGCACACATGTATACTTTCACGTATGTAATTTTCACAGTTTCAAGCACGTAAATTAAAGCTCCTAACACTGAAAGCTCGACAGCTTTAGGACACCATCAGAACCGCAAGTTTCCTGCATCAAATGTGTATACGCGGTGGCAAAGCACATTCCTGACCGTTGGAGTTTTCCACTTCCCACCTCGTGTTTCTCCTCCTGCTACTAGAACGTAAGGCTTCTCATATTATCTCTCGTTTCGTGTCTTTTCTGATGGTGTGTGCTGGCTTGGCTGCGGATGCGGGCTTTGATCTACCGGCGTTCGAAATCACGCGCAACCTTCCGCCTGAGTGCATTTTTTCGACAGACACATAGAAAAAAAACAGGAAATCAACAAGAAACCAAAAAAAAAAAAAAAAGAAAAAGCAGAATTGATATAGAATTCTACTGCAGCAAAAAAAACGACCAACATTTTTACTGATTGTGTTACATCCCGAGCGAAAGGCGAGGTTGAATTTAATTTTAATTAATAAAATCAATTTTTAAATTTTGGAGGAATGGTAGGCTGATTAAGTCAAGTTGGTAAGGCTTGACCATTTATTTTTATGTGAGAACGTTTGTTCCTATCGATCCTATGGGGGTCGTCTTTAAGTAATTTACTATTAAATAATTGCCTTTCCACTTATAATTGTTAAGTTGAATATGAATAGTTATGATAAATTTAGGTAAATGAGAAATTAATAAAGAATTTTATTAATTTAAATTTTGTATAATTTATTAATATAAATGAATTGAACTCAAAATATTACAAAGAGTTTTAGTGTAAAAAATGTTGTTACAAAGAAAATTGTGTTTTATAAATATAGTACTTACAATTACCTCTGTTCAGAGGGCAGAAATGAATATAAAACAAGTTGGCACTTGTCAGCGACGCTGTGAGTTTTTACAACTCCTTAAAAGGAACAGTTGGGACTTCTTCACAGTTTTTAGTTCGTAAACTCCGAAATGCACACACGTCACGTTTGCAAAATCGATAAATGAGAATACACTAATACGACGATTTATTTTAAATTTCAATAATTGACAAGCTCACAAATCTGGCGATGATGATTACTTGCTCAAAAACCGAACAACGAGTAAACATATACTGTTTGAGATGCAAGAGTTACAGTCGTAGAACTTTCAAAATAACCGAAGGGTCAAGCTTCACGATGGTGAATTTACTTTAATAAAATGAATTATAGAATGATTCCGGAGCAACTGACGATTGACAATGGATTTGCATGGGTTTTTATACTAGAAAATTACCCTCAGTGGGAGTAAATAAGTTCAAAGATCACCCCATCTCTAAGCTTGACTCTTAGATTTTCATAGAACTGTAACAATTCTCAGAGCTTAGATGAACACCTGCATCCTGTATCGCATAGCACAAGTATCGCTATTACATTGTCTACAAGCATCTCACAATATTGCGACGCTAGAATACTGTGCTTGCGCCTCGCTAACGCTTACATGAGTCATAAGTCCACTCGCTGCTACTGAGTAATATGCGTAGTAGTGTCAAATGGCATAGGTTTAATTTCTAGGAATAGCCTACCAGGCTTTCGATATTCAAGTCAAAGGTTAGCCTATGCGATTTGATACAAGTGAGAAGTAGATCATCGCATAAGACTTTATACTTTATGCAGCTGCAAAAACAATTCCTAAGAATTAGCTGAAGCATTACGTGGGATTCAAATTAGAAAAATTTTATATACTGAACATTATTCATATTTTTGAATAATGGCATTTTAAATGCTTTAATTTTAAAATGTGTAAGATTTATTATTTTAAAGTAATAGATAACTGTATTTTAAATATAATAGCAAAAAGAATTAATTAATTTTGAAGAATTAGGGCGAAAACTAGTGTAGATAGTTTTCGCTCTTGTTCAACAACCACACGCGATTCCTCAGCATAGCCCTTCTGTAGCGGGAGGTCACCTTCGGTGATGCATCTACTCGCTATATCTATATTCACATATCCATGCCTGTACGCACTATATCTATATATATCGCTCGCTCGCGACGAGTCATAACATGCAGGCAGAGATATGCATATATATAGATATAGTCGCGCGTATATGAATATGAATCAATGCTTTTATATAATTTTTGAAATAATTATAGTTTTAAGATATTATTTTTAACTGTTTTAAATACAAAATAAATTTTATGGTTTATTATTTATATATATATGTATTGAACGAAGTTTAAAATTTGTTACTGGGATGTAACAATTGCAAAAAAAGGAATTTAAATTGGAAAATTTGCGTATTTTATTTACAACTATTTGATATCGAGAAATGAGAAAAACTATCCAAAAAAGTATTTACAAAATAAAAAAATATATATTTTATGTTAATAAATAATAATATTTTGTGCTTCTTGTTGAGTAAAAAAAAGTCTGCTTCAATACTCAATTAAAATTGAAATGAAATGAAATAATAATTTATGACTTTGTAATACTACTAGTACGCCCTTACAGGCATGAATAAACTCCCCATCTAAGTAGGAAGCCAATTGGATAGAGAAATCTCCCCTATATAAAAAAAGGGAATTTTTTTCAAAAGTTAAACGTCCCAATCTCGCAATTTCCACAATGCACGAAACTTATCCCAGTGCGGCAAAAGTGTTTTATCAATTATCCCGAGTCTCACAAGCGCCAAATTTAAAATGTTTTTACCCGCGTTCACGTCACGATTCCACGATGTCTTACACGTCGCACAACGCGCAGTTCTGTTGATTTTTATTTTCATTCGTTTGTTGCAGCAACTGCAGAGTTTTGTGGTCAGATACTCGTCGACGAAAACAATACGTAAATTTTCATATTTAGACTGCTTCTCGATTAATCGTTTCATTACTTTCCGCAGTGGCATGCGAACGTGGCCCTTCATCCACGGGGATATTTTGGGTGATCCAATAGCCAACAGTTGTTTCTTGTTTGTGTCGCCTACCAAGTAATTTGCAAGATAGTCTGTCTCGCGTTGAACACACATATATTTGTCCCACTTGAGAGCAGCAACTTTTCTCTTCTCTTGAAATGGTTGATTTCTATTGAAAGACTCCAATAGATATTCCGTCGAGATGAAAATTTGTCTCGGATCTTTGTGGTTCACTTTACCTCGGTACTTATCGCAGACTTGCAAATCGTGATAAAATTTTTTGTAATCCTTGGTGTGCTTGTGAAGAATGGCTCGTCGAGAGTTTTCCTGTGTTTGCCATCTGTACGATTTAGTTGAAATTTTAATGGGTTTATCAACACTTTTAATGTTGAACTCTGGAGTCATATTCCTTTCAACTCCACCAAACGCAAACTTTAAGCCGGGGTCCAGTCCCTTCAACACTTTATACTGGGTCAAATCCGGTGTCTCTGGCTGCTCGTGTCTGTCATGATTGTTTTCGAAAAAATTAATCGCTCCTTGTTGACTCGTACTTTTGAGATATTAAACATATTGTTCCACCTTTGATCGTTAACATTTTCCCTATCGGGTCGTCGTTGATCCTTGACGTTTTGGTGTCGTTTATTTTCTAATTTCATTTCCTCCTTGATCGGAGTCAACTGGTTGGCGATTTCTTTTACACGACTTTTGATGGAAGACAGTCGTTTTGCATTTTGTGGACTATTTTCCCTTTCCAAATTTTTAGCTTCTCTTCCCAAGGCCGTTTTTTCATCATACAACAATTTGGACTGTTCCTTTAATGACGTAATAATGTTTTTGTGTTTCAGCTCTTGTGCTGAAATTTGATCTTTCGAAAACATTACCGATGCTTTTTCAATGGGAGTGTAATCTGAGCTTACTTTCAGCAATTCTTTTTCCAAATCTGCCAATCCAGTATTTGTGTAAGTGATATACTTGAGGCCCGGTTTCATGATGGGTACGAGAAGAAAACTTTTTCTTCCTTGACGAGCAAAGTATCCTTGGAGGCGATGAAAGAAAATGAGAAATTTGTGGCACTTATTTCTCTTTCCAAGATCACGAAAGTCTAAATTTTCCACGTTTAAAGTCTTGAGAGTCTCACTGTCGCATTCGTTGTGTTTAAATAGATTGTCGAGTTTTGTTTTGATGATATTTCCTCGATTAACCTCCATCTCTTCATCGTCTTCCTCTTCCTCTGTAGGCTCTTTATATTTTGATGCTGGAATGTCTTTTTTTAGAGGGATTTGATTCTTTCTTCTTATGAGGTGTAGGAGGAGGCTTCCAATTTTTATTGATTAATTTCATTGCCAAAAGATCTCGATGTTTGGCACCTCTATTTCTGCCATGTGAATTGACATCGTAGACATTTTTCCGTTGTAAAACATCGCGAGATCTGTTTAATTTCTTGATGTGTCTGTAAATTAATTTCTCTACATTTTCTTCGTCTGGATGCAACCCTACCAATTCTCTACGCCTCTGTCTTCTTTCTTGTCGAAACCGTGTTTTCAACATCCTCTTTTTCTTTGACCACCGCTCTCTTTTTCGTGCGTTTCGCGCCCTACGAGTCAATATTTCATTACGGCGATTAATCTGTTGCTGGTCATTGAGTTGATCAATTTTTTAGTTTCATTTTCGTTACAGGTTTTGGAAATAATTCGTGTTTGAAGAATGTTGCAAGTCGATCCCTTGCATGATAATGGAGATTCGTCAAGTAATTATCATTCAATTGTCTGCTCATTTCTTGAATTTGTGAAGTAAGATTTCTACAATTAAACAATTGAAATTCTTCTCCCATGTACTCGGTAAACTGAGGAATAAATTCTTTTCTCAATTTATCACTATATTCATTTTTCGCAGCCACTGGCAACTTGTGACTATCCTTTCTAAACAATGCAAATATAGAATAATAGTCGGGTCCATGTTCAGTCCAGTGTTTAAGTAAATAATCATTTGTCTCATGACGAATGGCAAAGTTTACAAAAATTGTCACTAATATTGATATTGTCGACAATAATTTTACTTGATCAAATACCAAGTTTGCAAGTTTCGGGCAACAACAAAAATATTTAGAAAATCCAGTCTTTATCGTAAATTTAGTCTGTTTCTTAACGCCCTCGTCGTCGTCGTCGTGTGACGATTCTTCTACTTTTTGAGTTTTCAACTTTTCCTTCTTGGTTGATGTTTCTTTTGGAGATGTCACATTTCTTTTCGGGGTTTTTTTCGCAAAGACATCGAAATTGTTGCGTGAGGACGTTTCATGATTTATTGGTGATTTGCGCGGAGTTTTATTCCTTTTTGGCGTATCTGTCGTTTCTTTAAATTTCATATTCGCTGGAGAAGAAGTTTCGCATTTTCTTGGCACTTTTCGGGGAGTAGTTCTCTTTTTCGGTTTGGCCGACGTAAATGAGGTGGCATCCTGTAAATCGGCTTGTCGGCTGGTTGACGGCTGCGGCTCCGTGGCTACTTTTCTTGGTGTCGATAACGGTACTTTGAATCCACTTTTTGGCGTGCTCTCTTCTTGTTCGGCAGCGTATGTGATGAGTGATTCGTATAATGCTCGCTGCATATCATCACATTCCTCACGATTCTTCCTATCCTGAGGGACTTTTTCACTGCGCTTATCGTCGCTAAAATTGATTTTGAATCGTTTTTTGGGAATGGGACTTAGTTTCGATTCATCTTGTTGCACCACATCAACAGATTCACTCGATTCAATGTTCAAAAGTTTTAGATTTCTTTGCCATGACAAACTTTTCTCGTCGTCGCTTGCGTTGAAGGCGAATGTCTGTGATTCACCATCAATGGACATTTTAGTATTCTCGTCGTGAAGAATAGGTAGCTCCGGTTGTCGACTCTCAGTTGATGAGACTTGTTGATCAGATGCATTTCGACGGTAAACGAAATCACTGACATCTGAGGCATTCGGCTCTTTAGGTGACTGTTCTTCTTCTTCCGGCGGAAACAACTGTGGATCATCATCATCATCTTGACAAGGTGCATTTGGACGGTAAACGAAATCACTGACATCTGAGGCATTCGGCTCTTTAGGTGACTGTTCTTCTTCTTCCGGCGGAAACAACTGTGGATCATCATCATCATCTTGACAAGGTGCATTTGGACGGTAAACGAAATCACTGACATCTGAGGCATTCGGCTCTTTAGGTGACTGTTCTTCTTCTTCCGGCGGAAACAACTGTCGACGTACTCTACTGACTCTGGAAGTTTCAACATTGTCCGATTGTTGACGACGGCGCGGAAATAGGGGAATAAATGGACTAAACACTGTGCGTACACGATTAGCATCCACATTAGGCGAAACATCACGGTCATGTTCTCGTCGTTGAGTTGGCAACACTGGTATAAATTGTCGAAAAACGCGACGTCGTTCATTCTCAATCTCAACCCGCGATGGGGGAGATTTCTCTGGCTCTTTTTTCTTTTCATTGCCCATAACAATAATACATAATAAACTAATTAATTAAATCTAGCTTAAAACTAATGCGGTGTAGACATTATACATTTTCATCTTATAATTAGCGCAAGTTGATGAGGCAGCAATCTTGTCCACTTCGTATGTTGCGGCTGGTTTATCCTAAATCCCGATGCGACTTCTGACACTCTTGATTTTTATACCTACGAAATACAGGAAAATATTAGTAAATTAGCAAAATAAAGAATAGAGCAAAAACATGTCACTATATATTTCGATAAAGAGGGGGTCCTCTTGTGACACTATTTGTTTTTGTTCCAATTTTTAAAAATAAGTGAATAATTTTTCAAAATTAATAATTTAATTTCCTTTAAAACAATAATTTTTAATATTATTTTGGTACAAAAAATCACGTTAATTTTATAAACAATATCAATTATTTGGAAAACTATTCTTAAAATTGACCTAACCTGAAAAAACTTTCAATATTTCAGAAATAATTTGAATTTATAGTAAATAGTGAAAATAATACCTAAATGAAATATAAACAAAATTATTTCCCTTTTCACTATTAACTTGTTCATTAATTTAACAAGTTTTCGGAAATGAAACCAGGAAAATTGTAGTTATCGTGTCGACGACTTGGCAATTTTTCTTTCTATATATCTTACATTGACATTGTTGATAAAGGAAAAATACAATTTTTATGTGACTTTATCTTTCTTGTAAAATTATAATAAAAAACCAAAATTATCATATTCAATAAGTGAGTTTCACAATTCGAGTTTCAAAATATAGAAAAATTTGGGAAACAATGAAATTTTATTTATTCAACAACTATTTTTTCTCACTAAACTCCTTCTTCATTTTCCCCTTTCCATTTTTGGAATAAAATTAATTTTATAAATACAAATTTTTGTTATTTATTATTATTATTATACTTCTTATTATTTAATTAAAATTTTTATTTTGTAGCACAAGTCTCTTCGCATATGTCACTTGTCGCTAATAAAGGGACCTTAAAAGTAAATCATTTTAAGGTTATGTTTGTTGCAGTTTTACATTGACTAAACGTTTTTCTAAATTTGTGTAACGATAAAATCATTTTCTGCTATAAACTTTGCGTGTAAAAAATAAATCAATATCTATGCTTTATATTGATAATTGTTCTCAAATGCAAATTTTAATTTAAAAAATTATAAAAGCATAAAATAACATTTTTTGCTTCCAAGGTCTCTTTCTTCATGACGCATCTCACATTTAACACTTTCATTTCTACATTTCGAGTTCGGAATTGTCAATATTCTAAAAATAGTAAACCAATGTCTAAAATTTTTTTTGAAAAATGTGAAAATTACATAAAAAATAAAAAAAACGCAATAACAAAATTTTTTTTTTTTTAAATACATTTTTCAACATATTCTTCTCATTGATTTCTAATTTTTGAATATGGAGGAAAAAAGTTAAATAATCGGAATCCAATATCTATATCTATTTTCTTTCCAAGTTGTATATATATATATAGACAACATGCTGATGTAAAGAAATGAAACTCACCGATCGTTGTGATTATCGACGATTGTCGTCTGATTGTTTGACAATGAATTTTCAGCTTATTGTCGAAATAGTGCTCCCTTTAACATCATCCAATACATCCGTTAAAACGAAACGGTAAACGAAATGGTAGCGAAAGAGTCAGCTAAACGGTCAGCAACTGAGAGATCTGAGTTTGGAACAAAACATTTTAATACGATATTTAAAAAAAAAATTTTAAAAATGTGACAATTACATAAAAAATAAAAAAAGGTTATTAAAAAAAAATTAATTTTTTAGAAAAACCAATTATTGTGCATATATTCATAATTTATTTTTAATTTTCGAATTTGAAGAAACAAAAATGTAAGAAATGGAACACGATATCTACATTCACTTTTTTTTCCAACCTACAAATGTACACAAATTATTCATGTCAAAAAAAGAAACTCACCCTTCCTTATGATTGCGGATGCTTGTCGTGTGATTTTTTGAAAGTGGATTTTCAGCTTATTGTCCAAATCGTGTTTCTTTTACATCCTCCAATACATTCAATCCATCCAATACTTTATAACGAAACGGTAAACGAAATGTTAGCGAAAGAGTCAGCGAAAGAGTCAGCGAAAGAGTCAGCTAAACGGTCAGCAACTGAGAGATCTGAGTTTCGAACAAAACATTTTAATACGATATTTAAAAAAAAGTTTTTAAAAATGTGACAATTACATAAAAAATAAAAAAAGGTTATTAAAAAAAATTAATTTTTTAGAAAAACCAATTATTGTGCATATATTCATAATTTATTTTTAATTTTCGAATTTGAAGAAACAAAAATGAAAGAAACGGAACACGATATCTACATTCACTTTCTTTCCAACCTACAAATGTACACAAATTATTGATGTCAAAAAAAGAAACTCACCCTTCCTTATGAAGAGTCGAGTGCCTCAACCAACAGTGATTTCGTTTACCGTCTAAATGCACCTTGTCAAGATGATGATGATGATCCACAGTTGTTTCCGCCGGAAGAAGAAGAACAGTCACCTAAAGAGCCGAATGCCTCAGATGTCAGTGATTTCGTTTACCGTCCAAATGCACCTTGTCAAGATGATGATGATGATCCACAGTTGTTTCCGCCGGAAGAAGAAGAACAGTCACCTAAAGAGCCGAATGCCTCAGATGTCAGTGATTTCGTTTACCGTCCAAATGCACCTTGTCAAGATGATGATGATGATCCACAGTTGTTTCCGCCGGAAGAAGAAGAACAGTCACCTAAAGAGCCGAATGCCTCAGATGTCAGTGATTTCGTTTACCGTCGAAATGCATCTGATCAACAAGTCTCATCAACTGAGAGTCGACAACCGGAGCTACCTATTCTTCACGACGAGAATACTAAAATGTCCATTGATGGTGAATCACAGACATTCGCCTTCAACGCAAGCGACGACGAGAAAAGTTTGTCATGGCAAAGAAATCTAAAACTTTTGAACATTGAATCGAGTGAATCTGTTGATGTGGTGCAACAAGATGAATCGAAACTAAGTCCCATTCCCAAAAAACGATTCAAAATCAATTTTAGCGACGATAAGCGCAGTGAAAAAGTCCCTCAGGATAGGAAGAATCGTGAGGAATGTGATGATATGCAGCGAGCATTATACGAATCACTCATCACATACGCTGCCGAACAAGAAGAGAGCACGCCAAAAAGTGGATTCAAAGTACCGTTATCGACACCAAGAAAAGTAGCCACGGAGCCGCAGCCGTCAACCAGCCGACAAGCCGATTTACAGGATGCCACCTCATTTACGTCGGCCAAACCGAAAAAGAGAACTACTCCCCGAAAAGTGCCAAGAAAATGCGAAACTTCTTCTCCAGCGAATATGAAATTTAAAGAAACGACAGATACGCCAAAAAGGAATAAAACTCCGCGCAAATCACCAATAAATCATGAAACGTCCTCACGCAACAATTTCGATGTCTTTGCGAAAAAAACCCCGAAAAGAAATGTGACATCTCCAAAAGAAACATCAACCAAGAAGGAAAAGTTGAAAACTCAAAAAGTAGAAGAATCGTCACACGACGACGACGACGAGGGCGTTAAGAAACAGACTAAATTTACGATAAAGACTGGATTTTCTAAATATTTTTGTTGTTGCCCGAAACTTGCAAACTTGGTATTTGATCAAGTAAAATTATTGTCGACAATATCAATATTAGTGACAATTTTTGTAAACTTTGCCATTCGTCATGAGACAAATGATTATTTACTTAAACACTGGACTGAACATGGACCCGACTATTATTCTATATTTGCATTGTTTAGAAAGGATAGTCACAAGTTGCCAGTGGCTGCGAAAAATGAATATAGTGATAAATTAAGAAAAGAATTTATTCCTCAGTTTACCGAGTACATGGGAGAAGAATTTCAATTGTTTAATTGTAGAAATCTTACTTCACAAATTCAAGAAATGAGCAGACAATTGAATGATAATTACTTGACGAATCTCCATTATCATGCAAGGGATCGACTTGCAACATTCTTCAAACACGAATTATTTCCAAAACCTGTAACGAAAATGAAACTAAAAAATTGATCAACTCAATGACCAGCAACAGATTAATCGCCGTAATGAAATATTGACTCGTAGGGCGCGAAACGCACGAAAAAGAGAGCGGTGGTCAAAGAAAAAGAGGATGTTGAAAACACGGTTTCGACAAGAAAGAAGACAGAGGCGTAGAGAATTGGTAGGGTTGCATCCAGACGAAGAAAATGTAGAGAAATTAATTTACAGACACATCAAGAAATTAAACAGATCTCGCGATGTTTTACAACGGAAAAATGTCTACGATGTCAATTTACATGGCAGAAATAGAGGTGCCAAACATCGAGATCTTTTGGCAATGAAATTAATCAATAAAAATTGGAAGCCTCCTCCTACACCTCATAAGAAGAAAGAATCAAATCCCTCTAAAAAAAGACATTCCAGCATCAAAATATAAAGAGCCTACAGAGGAAGAGGAAGACGATGAAGAGATGGAGGTTAATCGAGGAAATATCATCAAAACAAAACTCGACAATCTATTTAAACACAACGAATGCGACAGTGAGACTCTCAAGACTTTAAACGTGGAAAATTTAGACTTTCGTGATCTTGGAAAGAGAAATAAGTGCCACAAATTTCTCATTTTCTTTCATCGCCTCCAAGGATACTTTGCTCGTCAAGGAAGAAAAAGTTTTCTTCTCGTACCCATCATGAAACCGGGCCTCAAGTATATCACTTACACAAATACTGGATTGGCAGATTTGGAAAAAGAATTGCTGAAAGTAAGCTCAGATTACACTCCCATTGAAAAAGCATCGGTAATGTTTTCGAAAGATCAAATTTCAGCACAAGAGCTGAAACACAAAAACATTATTACGCCATTAAAGGAACAGTCCAAATTGTTGTATGATGAAAAAACGGCCTTGGGAAGAGAAGCTAAAAATTTGGAAAGGGAAAATAGTCCACAAAATGCAAAACGACTGTCTTCCATCAAAAGTCGTGTAAAAGAAATCGCCAACCAGTTGACTCCGATCAAGGAGGAAATGAAATTAGAAAATAAACGACACCAAAACGTCAAGGATCAACGACGACCCGATAGGGAAAATGTTAACGATCAAAGGTGGAACAATATGTTTAATATCTCAAAAGTACGAGTCAACAAGGAGCGATTAATTTTTTCGAAAACAATCATGACAGACACGAGCAGCCAGAGACACCGGATTTGACCCAGTATAAAGTGTTGAAGGGACTGGACCCCGGCTTAAAGTTTGCGTTTGGTGGAGTTGAAAGGAATATGACTCCAGAGTTCAACATTAAAAGTGTTGATAAACCCATTAAAATTTCAACTAAATCGTACAGATGGCAAACACAGGAAAACTCTCGACGAGCCATTCTTCACAAGCACACCAAGGATTACAAAAAATTTTATCACGATTTGCAAGTCTGCGATAAGTACCGAGGTAAAGTGAACCACAAAGATCCGAGACAAATTTTCATCTCGACGGAATATCTATTGGAGTCTTTCAATAGAAATCAACCATTTCAAGAGAAGAGAAAAGTTGCTGCTCTCAAGTGGGACAAATATATGTGTGTTCAACGCGAGACAGACTATCTTGCAAATTACTTGGTAGGCGACACAAACAAGAAACAACTGTTGGCTATTGGATCACCCAAAATATCCCCGTGGATGAAGGGCCACGTTCGCATGCCACTGCGGAAAGTAATGAAACGATTAATCGAGAAGCAGTCTAAATATGAAAATTTACGTATTGTTTTCGTCGACGAGTATCTGACCACAAAACTCTGCAGTTGCTGCAACAAACGAATGAAAATAAAAATCAACAGAACTGCGCGTTGTGCGACGTGTAAGACATCGTGGAATCGTGACGTGAACGCGGGTAAAAACATTTTAAATTTGGCGCTTGTGAGACTCGGGATAATTGATAAAACACTTTTGCCGCACTGGGATAAGTTTCGTGCATTGTGGAAATTGCGAGATTGGGACGTTTAACTTTTGAAAAAAATTCCCTTTTTTTATATAGGGGAGATTTCTCTATCCAATCGGCTTCCTACTTAGATGCTGCAGTAGAATTCTATATCAATTCTGCTTTTTCTTTTTTTTTTTTGGTTTCTTGTTGACTTCCTGTTTTTTTTTCTATGTGTCTGTCGAAAAAATGCACTCAGGCGGAAGGTTGCGCGTGATTTCGAACGCCGGTAGATCACCGCAGCCAAGCCAGCACACACCATCTGAAAAGACACGAAACGAGAGATAATATGAGAAGCCTTACGTTCTAGTAGCAGGAGGAGAAACATTTATACAAAATAGTAATTATAGTAATAGAAAAGTGAAATAATTATTGGTACAAGAGGTCAGTAAAAGTAGAGCAAAAATTTTTAATATTATATGTCATTTTGCTTACCGAAAGTATAATAATTATTGTTGAGAATTTGCAGTTCTTGTTGAAATCCAGATATTTCATTTATCCCTAAATTTGTGAAGTACTTTGTGTAGAGTCACATACTCGGCAACAATTGTCGAAAGCAACAGCAGTAGCTGCTTGGAAATAAGCATCAATCTTTGTAAAGAATTAATAATACAAAATTAGAAAAATGAGTCAATTAAATAATAAATAATTTTTTAATATAATAATATTAAAATTTTATTAATTTACATAATTTGATAAATTAAATTATTATTTATTTATTAATTATTAATAATAAATTTTATAAATTAAATTATTATTAATTTAATAAATTAATAAATTTTATTAATTTAATTTAATTTATTTATTATTATTTATTTTTATAAATTATGAAAATGTTATATATTTAATTTTATTAATTAAAATAATAAATAACATAAATTACCCTACAAATTTGCAAAATTAGTTTAAAATGTTTCTTTTATATATTATAAATTACCTTAAAAATTTCATAAATTACCGTATAAATTACAATAAATTTCCAAAATTTTATATTTGATTTAAAAATTTTTTTTTTTTAATAATTAAATTTATTTTAAATTTATTATTTTATTAATTTTATTTCATTCTTGACTATTATACTTGAAAGTTTTATTTTACGGTTTCAAAGAGTATCTGTACGATTAAAAAATAAACATATTCGCGTTTAGTGTGAAATTCTTGGAAAATTAGAAGCCATTGTTGCCATGTTGAATCCCAAGGAAAGCAAGTTTTAACACAATATATGTTTATATTTTAATCGTAGAGATACTCTTTGAAACCGTAAACATACTGAAAAAAATGTTTACATTTCAAATACGAAAATTCTTGTTCTGCGACATCGAAAATAGATAATTTACTTCAATTTATAAATATAATTAAATTAAAATTAAAGTTTTTTAACTTACATATAAATTGTATAACTTTTCATACATAATTCTATTATTATAGAAACTTTTTCAAATTAAACTTAAAATTAAATGCATATGATATAATGAATTATTATAGTACTTAATAAAAATTTTAAATAAATTTAAATATTACATGTAAAAAACAAAATTTAAAATAAAATATAAAATTTTGGTAATTTATTGTAATTTATGCGGTAATTTATAACATAGAAAAGAAAAATTAAAAAACTAATTTATATATATATATATATATATATATATATATATATATTATAAGAAAAATAAAAAGTTTTATACATTTATATTATAAATTACATAAAATGATTATATACTTATACTTACTTAAAAAATAACCAACTCCAGTGATGTAAAGCATGTGGCGTCCAATGATATCCTGGCTTATTTATTTTTTTTTGTCAAAAAGCACCCACTTGAGTTTTAAATATTGTCTTTTTTTTAAATTTAAATTCACCTAGTAATTTTTGATATTTTTAAACGTTTATAAACTTTTACGATTGATGAGATGCTCGTGGATGATACTTTCACTTATTTCACGATTTATGCACGAAATAGCAATGGTGGTCGATGAGCTGCTTTATAGGCACAGAGAAGATGTGTTAATAAATCATGATATGTGATCACCACCCCTTCGTTCTTAATGTCACGTGATTAGCCAATTTCCTATGGGTCCCGACACTGTGGTTGGCTAAATATATTGATATATTCATTGGTTAATCTTTCAAATTTCATGAAACATTGACACCAATCTTGTCCACTTTGTATGTTGCGGCTGGTTTATCTTAAATCCCGATGCGAGTTCTGACACTCTTGATTTTTATACCTACGAAATACAGGAAAATATTAGTAAATTAGCAAAATAAAGAATAGAGCAAAACCATGTCACTATATATTTCGATAAAGAGGGGGTCCTCTTGTGACACTATTTGTTTTTGTTCCAATTTTTAAAAATAAGTGAATAATTTTTCAAAATTAATAATTTAATTTCCTTTAAAACAATAATTTTTAATATTATTTTGGTACAAAAAATCACGTTAATTTTATAAACAATATCAATTATTTGGAAAACTATTCTTAAAATTGACCTAACCTGAAAAAACTTTCAATATTTCAGAAATAATTTGAATTTATAGTAAATAGTGAAAATAATACCTAAATGAAATATAAACAAAATTATTTCCCTTTTCACTATTAACTTGTTCATTAATTTAACAAGTTTTCGGAAATGAAACCAGGAAAATTGTAGTTATCGTGTCGACGACTTGGCAATTTTTCTTTCTATATATCTTACATTGACATTGTTGATAAAGGAAAAATACAATTTTTATGTGACTTTATCTTTCTTGTAAAATTATAATAAAAAACCAAAATTATCATATTCAATAAGTGAGTTTCACAATTCGAGTTTCAAAATATAGGAAAAATATGAGAAACAATGAAATTTTATTTATTCAACAACTATTTTTTCTCACTAAACTCTTTCTTCATTTTCCCCTTTCCATTTTTGGAATAAAATTAATTTTATAAATACAAATTTTTGTTATTTATTATTATTATTATACTTCTTATTATTTAATTAAAAATTTTATTTTGTAGCACAAGTCTCTTCGCATATGTCACTTGTCGCTAATAAAGGGACCTTAAAAGTAAATCATTTTAAGGTTATGTTTGTTGCAGTTTTACATTGATTAAACGTTTTTCTAAATTTGTGTAACGATAAAATCATTTTCTGCTATAAACTTTGCGTGTAAAAAATAAATCAATATCTATGCTTTATATTGATAATTGTTCTCAAATGCAAATTTTAATTTAAAAAATTATAAAAGCATAAAATAACATTTTTTGCTTCCAAGGTCTCTTTCTTCATGACGCATCTCACATTTAACACTTTCATTTCTACATTTCGAGTTCGGAATTGTCAATATTCTAAAAATAGTAAACCAATGTCTAAAATTTTTTTTGAAAAATGTGAAAATTACATAAAAAATAAAAAAAACGCAATAACAAAATTTTTTTTTTTTTAAATACATTTTTCAACATATTCTTCTCATTGATTTCTAATTTTTGAATATGGAGGAAAAAAGTTAAATAATCGGAATCCAATATCTATATCTATTTTCTTTCCAAGTTGTATATATATATATAGACAACATGCTGATGTAAAGAAATGAAACTCACCGATCGTTGTGATTATCGACGATTGTCGTCTGATTGTTTGACAATGAATTTTCAGCTTATTGTCGAAATAGTGCTCCCTTTAACATCATCCAATACATCCGTTAAAACGAAACGGTAAACGAAATGGTAGCGAAAGAGTCAGCTAAACGGTCAGCAACTGAGAGATCTGAGTTTGGAACAAAACATTTTAATACGATATTTAAAAAAAAAATTTTTAAAATGTGACAATTACATAAAAAATAAAAAAAGGTTATTAAAAAAAAATTAATTTTTTAGAAAAACCAATTATTGTGCATATATTCATAATTTATTTTTAATTTTCGAATTTGAAGAAACAAAAATGAAAGAAACGGAACACGATATCTACATTCACTTTTTTTCCAACCTACAAATGTACACAAATTATTCATGTCAAAAAAAGAAACTCACCCTTCCTTATGATTGCGGATGCTTGTCGCGTGATTTCTTGAAAGTGGATTTTCAGCTTATTGTCCAAATCGTGTTTCTTTTACATCCTCCAATACATTCAATCCATCCAATACTTTATAACGAAACGGTAAACGAAATGTTAGCGAAAGAGTCAGCGAAAGAGTCAGCTAAACGGTCAGCAACTGAGAGATCTGAGTTTGGAACAAAACATTTTAATACGATATTTAAAAAAAAGTTTTTAAAAATGTGACAATTACATAAAAAATAAAAAAAGGTTATTAAAAAAAAATTAATTTTTTAGAAAAACCAATTATTGTGCATATATTCATAATTTATTTTTAATTTTCGAATTTGAAGAAACATAAATGAAAGAAACGGAACACGATATCTACATTCACTTTTTTTCCAACCTACAAATGTACACAAATTATTGATGTCAAAAAAAGAAACTCACCCTTCCTTATGATTGCAGATGCTTGTCGTGTGATTTCTTGAAAGTGGATTTTCAGCTTATTGTCCAAATCGTGTTTCTTTTACATCCTCCAAACGAAACGGTAAACGAAATGTTAGCGAAAAAGTCAGCTAAACGGTCAGCAACTGAGAATTCTGAGTTTGGAACAAAACATTTTAATACGATATTTAAAAAAAAGTTTTTAAAAATGTGACAATTACATAAAAAATAAAAAAAGGTTATTAAAAAAAATTAATTTTTTAGAAAAACCAATTATTGTGCATATATTCATAATTTATTTTTAATTTTCGAATTTGGAGAAACAAAAATGAAAGAAATGGAACACGATATCTACATTCACTTTTTTTTCCAACCTACAAATGTACACAAATTATTGATGTCAAAAAAAGAAACTCACCCTTCCTTATGATTGCAGATGCTTGTCGTGTGATTTCTTGAAAGTGGATTTTCAGCTTATTGTCCAAATCGTGTTTCTTTTACATCCTCCAATACATTCAATCCATCCAATACTTTATAACGAAACGGTAAACGAAATGGTAACGAAAGACTCAACGAAATGGTCGGCAAGAGAGAGATCTGAGTTTGGAACAAATAATGTCAACTTAAAAATAGTTTTTAAAAATGTGAAAATTACATAAAAAATAAAAAAAACGCAATAACAAAATTTTTTTTTTTAAAAATACATTTTTCAACATATTCTTCTCATTGATTTCTAATTTTCGAATATGGAGAAATAATAATGAAATAAGCGGAAATTGATCTCTATATTTATTTTCTTTTCAAGTTTCTATCAAACGTATTTTAAAGAAAATGATTATACTAACTATTTTTATATTTATAAAAATTATAACTATCACTATTTTGCAATTTTTATTATAATTGACTTCTTTGCATAAAAACAACAGTATTAAGTAGTTCAGTTCGTTTATAGTGAGACTTAATTGATTTTCAAAGAATTGTTTAAATTATTAACATTAAGTTTACTTTTTTGCATTAGAATAAAATATTTTAAACTCTTTTGGATTTTTTATCACAATTTTCAGTAGTACAGATTGTTTTCAGTCAGACGCGTATTTTAAAAAATTTGTAACATTAACTATTTTTATATTAGTAAAATGTATTACAAATGTAATTTTTATTAAAATTGCTTTCTTTGCATCAAACACAACAGTTTTAAGTAGTATAGTTTGTTTGTATTCAGACGTATATCATTTATAATAAATTTCTTTGTGATTTAACTATTTTTAAAAAAAAAATATAACTACAATTATTTCAAATAATTAATCTGAGAAAGGAATTAGAAAAATAGTTCAATTCATCAAAAAATTCATCACAAATGAAATACGTCTGAATACATACGAACTTTACTACTTAAAAGTGCTGTGTTTGATGCAAAGAAAGCAATTTTAATCAAAATTACAAATGGTAATACATTTTATAAATAGAAAAATAGTTAATATAATCAATTTTTTTTTATTACGTCTGACTGAAATTGATATGTACAACTTAAAATTGATAATAATTAATTTGAGAAAGGAAAGGCTATAAAAATGTGTAAAATAATTATAGTTAAATTTTTTTATAAAAAAATATTTAAATTACAAAAAAAGATTATCAAAAATGAAATACATTTGACCTCAAACGAACTGTACATTCATTATAAAATAAATAAAAATCTGTAAAATCATTTACAACACATATAGAAAAGTAGAAAACAAATAACAGGGGTCATCGTAATAATATTTTTTACTCTAGTAGTAAAAAAAGATTTAGTCATACGCAATTACTTTAATAATTGTATTCTTTTAGAGCAGTAAAAGTTTTCCATAAAACATGCTTAATGTCAGTTATATGCAAAACGAATCTCATACTAACATGGTATCAGGTGTAGTAACGGAGAGGTCATTTGTATCATGTAACAGTTCTCGAAACTGAACTCTCCTGTCCACTGATTTATAACTTCTCGACTCCCAATCAAATCCCAAAATCCTCGTCCAACAATATAAAGTACGATAAAGTGGAAAATTTCCCAATTTGCTGTGACGCCACTTACGGAGTAGTGAAATAAAAGTTGACTTTTAAAATTTGTCAAAAATAGCGTGATACAACCTAGATTATCATTTTTGATAGAGCTCTTGTCGTGATTCCATAAAGCTACTATTCGTCATATATATGCGCATACTCTAATTGGAATCAGTTCCATCAATCAATGGAATTTTTGTGATTTGAAAAAAATACTTTCTTTTTCTCTTTATATTAACGAGATATTAATTAAGACTCAATTTATATCTGGTTTACTTCACCACTTAATATGTTATAAATTTAATAATAAATTCAACGTCTGAAATAAAGTTTTTAAAGTGGAAAAATATTCAGTTAAGAAACTTTTGGGTAATGAATCAGTTCACTTTGAAATCGATAAATGTCAAAAAGTTATTTTATTGCATTTCGATCGTTAAATTATTTTCCAAGTGAAATGCTAACTTCTGATACTTCTTATATTGCCAACGATTTAATGGCAATAAATTATATCACAGGAGAAGAATATTGCTCTTGCCCTCGTATAACAGCTTTATGCGCGCACTTTAAAATTCACACAGTGTGAGGTATATGTAGTTGAAAATATTTTTTTTCTTTCTTTAGAAGAACGAGGACACGTGTCTATTAGCATCAAGTAATTAATCCTTAGGAAGTAATTAAAGTTTTCTCTTAGGAAAATTTTTCATCCTGGTTTTGCTCGAGGCATGCGATTCAACGCATTTTTCATCGTGTTCTCTCATCTTAAAACTTACGCGATTCCTAACCATTCTTGTGACGCTTCATTTGATACTAGCGGATCATTCTCCAACGCTTTTATCGAAAAAGTGAAAAATTATCTTGAATATTTTTCTATATAGTTGATAATTTATAGTTTGTCAGTGATAATTAAAAATATAATATATTTTTCAAAAAATTGTTTTGGAATTTTCGTGAGAAAATTTTCTCGAATCTGTTTTTGTGTTTAGAGAGAAAAATAAATCTAATAATGTTATTTGTTTTTGAGAGCAAGTTATGGGGTGTTAGGGAGCTCTCACATGTTCTATCTAGGAAGTGACTATACAGTTTCCTGGTGAGGTATACTAGTTCCGGAAGTGGTTAATCCCGATTTACGGATCCGGATTACATCGGCCTCTAAAGAGCACTACGGCTGAGCCACCTAGACTGTACCTACCCGGAGTTGAAGTTACCTCTCGAGGGGAAGTAATCGTTTGTAATTAACGCCGAAGGTCTTACGAAGTCGGTGAAGCCCATTCCGCCTTTTGCCTCTCGAAAATTGTTGAGCTAACTCGTCAGCACAATCTATCAAAGGGAATTTTGTAAAGCTAAAGCTTCAAATACAGATTTAACGTGTGTAGTTTCTCATATATGAATCAAACATATTCATATTTTATAATATAGTCGTCAAAAACTAAAATTAATCTCCAAATTGAGGCATATGAGCAAAAAAATATTATTTTACTTTTATATTCTTTCGATTTGTAAAAATATTTATTTGAATAATAGTAAAAGTAAGTTTTAGACAGACATATTTTTACGAATTTTTTTTCACTAAGAATCAGTAGTAAATGTCGGTTTTAGTCAGACAATAATATGTGAATTGTGGTAATTAGTAAAATTAAAATTCTACTGTAATGTAAGTAAATATACTTTCAGTTAAACGAGTCAATTTACTATTAGCATGAGAGTGAAACTAATTTTCCTCACTAAAGTTACAAAATTATTTTCATATTTCGTATATAAAAATGCAAATTTCGAGTTACCTTACATCGAAATTTAAGAGATACTTTAAAGAAATTGAGAATATCTTTTACGAGTATGATCAAAGGAAACATTAATGTACTCGCTTTTATTGAAAAATTCTTTTTTTCTCCTGAGAAAATTTTCTTTTTTCATTTATAAAATGAAATTTGTAGTAGAAATCAAATTTTTTGAGTAGGAAGAAAAAACTCTTTACCTAAATCTATTCTAGTAAATTTTATTCGATTAAAATAATATTTCTCAAATTTTTAACTAAAAAAATTTTGCAACCTTTTTTAAATACAAAAATGTAATTTTTATCTTTATTGTGTATAAATAAAAATTTGTTTACCACGCGGCTAAAATGAGTTTGTTGGACACATTTTCTTTTTGTAGTAACGAATAAATCCTCTTTTTTTTCATGACATCGTTGACGTTTTCAAGCCCGTCAAAAGTATCATTCTATTTGAATGTCTAGAAATAAAGCGCGCATAAAATGCATTTTTGTCCAACGAAAACTCGTTTAAAAGGTAAAATACATGTTGTTTGAGGGCAATTTGTTTTGGTTTGTGTATGTGAGAGTATATGAAAATATCAATTGTAATGAAAACGTGCAACTAAATTTACAAGTGAGAATACGATTTTAGTGAATTTAGTTTAATATTGAAACGACAAGGATATGATTGTTTGAATATAGACATCAATAGATTAAGTAACAGGTGTTTTTAGGTGCATCCATTTTGCGAATCGACGATCAGTGAGTGTGTTCGCGCAGCAGCGGCAGCAGCACACACACTGTAAATAAACGTTCAAGACGAGCAGCAAATGGCACGTCATTTCGAATGCCAGCCGTGCAAGAAGATCTTCAACCGATAAAATATCCCCCTAATTTTGAGCACCCCGAACCTTTGGCCAACGTTTATAGGCCATCCCGGGCTGCTTCGGAAGCTGCGTGATCAGCATCCCTCTTCTCAACTGGAATACCCAAAGCCACTCAGGCACAGTAGTTTATCTGCTCGAGTAGTAAATTCGACGCCCCAATGTTGATAAAACCGGACGGCCGAGTTGTGCTCTCCTCATAAAGATCAAGACAATCGATCCATGGCGAGTCGCCAGTATCTATAACGAATTTCGAATATCGTTGACGAAGCTGATTCTATACTCTGGACATGACCTTTCTCACATATATTGGCCAGTACGGAATCAAAATTTTAATCTAAGACATTTTTTTAAATCAATTTCTTGTGACACTTTCAGTCAGACATAATTTTAGATAAATTGTTACGTTTTAGTCAGACAAAATATCTGAAAGTTTTCTAGTTCAGCATAAAAGATATATTTTCAAAGGAAAAAAAAACTTTGTTTGAAGGAAGAACGAGAACATTTTCTTTGATTAGCATTCGACAAAATGAAAATATTGACTGCGCCCAAGACTTTGAAAACTGTTTGACGTCTCACTTTCAAAGAGGCCTTTGCTTCTCGAAGCGAGAGGAAAAGGTTAATTTGACTACTGTTTTTTTTATTATTATTATTATTTTCTCTTTTTCCGGTTTCACAGTGTAACTGAACAACCAATCTTTCTAAGAATTTTTTTTCTTCTTTTGCCTTCCAAGTTGAAAATTCTGTATTTAATTTAGCTCAGGGCTTTTAATCAGACAGCGAGGGACTGTATTGCTATATACAGATGATGAAACGCGAGGGCCAAGTAAACTCCGAGAGAATTTGCCTCAAGATTTAAAACACACTCGTCTCGTTTGCAAATGAAATGGATTTCACCGCATCACGTGAAAAGAA